CAATCGTTCGCGGAAAGCATGCTGAGATTAAATTTACGGAGCGGAGTGTACGCCATTCGAAAGATCAAACGAAATAATCTCTCTAATGCATCGGGGAAATATTCAATTGCGAGTTTACGAGTTCAATTGCGAGTTTACGTGTAATATAACGGAGTATAGTGTTAATTCGGGTGACCCGAATTGGTGTACCTGATCGTTACCTCGGACCTCGGTGGTCGCGACGAGGAAAATTTGCTCTCCGCGGGAGTTGGCAGCCCGCTCCGAACGGGGCTCGCGGATGGTGTGCAACGTGGCGGACGTTGGCTACACAAGCGTGCATGTTGCGAAAGCGGCGCGGGGTGAGAGGCCCGCGCAGTTTGACCGCGAGTGCCGTCTCTTGATTCCCTCTCGGCCCTCTCTTAGGTTCTCGGTACGAGCACTTGGTGCTCATTTTCGTTCTCCGTCTTCACATCTTGTTTTCTTCCTGCTCGCCCGTTCCACGTAGAGGTCCTCATCGCCTAGTGCTAGCAGAGACTCTGCTTGGCCGCGTTCGCGCTTGGTAGCGTTTAGCTTAGCTCTTATTTTCTGCCGCGAGCACTGTTTCGCGTACCGTTCGTCCTAGATACACCGTACCTTTGGTCGCGCTCTTGCGGTCGTACCAGTAATGAACCGCGAAATGAAGGCGCTTAGAGCTGGGTCGAAGGAGGCCGCCTCCTGTCCGGCCATCATCTCTGTTGCGGGAGCCACGGTGGACCTCCCCCCCGAACAGTGGAAGCTGCTCGCTGAGGATAAGCATCCGTTCACGGCCCGTCTGTTCGACTTTGTCACCGGGTGAGATCCATGCGTTCCATTCCCTGACTCCAATATGCACGCGTTGTTTATGGTCGCGGTGTTTAGGCTGTTCGCGACATGTCAGCAATATTTACTAGGGGGCAGTGCAGGCCGCGGCATACCTCCGCTGTGCTTTTAGGTCGCGTTGTTTATGGTTGAGCTTTTCCTCGCCATGTTTTACACCGTCCCGCACAGCGTGATTGTCCGGAGGTATCTGGAGAAGGAGGTGCATGAGCACGTCCGAATCGTGACGAGCGGTGTTGTCGCGGACATAGTCGCGGGTCACGATGAAGCGGTCCAAGCCTTTGCCGGTTTGATGGAGTGCAGCCTGGTGGTTTTCTGCATCTGGTCCGAGTGAGTGTTCATTGGGAGTGTTCACTTGTACAGGGAATGCACTCGTTTACGTGGTTTAACGCGGTCGTCAATGGCACGTTCAGGGACTTGTTCGACAAGAAGCGCTCGAACGCGAGCATGCTCATTCTGCTTCACCCCGACCACCTGTCGCTTGACGGTGACGAGACTTGGAACACGCGGTTCGTTCGCGTTGCTATTCCCACTGGTGGTGCGGAACACGTCACCGCAGCGGATGCGATTGTGGAGTGAGTACCGCGTACTGGTTTATCATCAGTACCACGCTCATTTCTGCTCCGAGGCTCATGTCGCTAACCGTGCGTTCGCGTGGATATGTATGTGCTTTTGGGCAGGTGGTTTCAGGGTCGCGTTGACGAGGATTTTGCGCGCGGCTCCATTCAGTGCACCCGCTCCCGCCAGCTTAAGGATCCCGAGCGTCTGTTGGATCTGGTACGTCTGTGTTGTGTACGTGTTCTCGATGACCGCGAATAGTTGCAGTGGTGCTAACAAACCCCATGTAATGTTTTCCAGGACGCGACGTCATTGAAGGGCTCCTGCGGCAATCTCGCTTGTCTGTTCGCGTTCGACAAGATCCTTACCCAGTTGGACGCGGTCGCTGCCAGTGGATCCGGGCTGCAATTCTCGAGGCCAACCGCGAAGACTCTGAATGCACTAAGGCATGAGGCGTACCAAACCGCCGAAGAGCTCGCGTTCAACTTGAGTGTGGATTTGACGCGACCCAAGCACGGCGGTGAGGCTGAAGGTGCTGAAACGGGGAAGGTGCAGAAAGTGGCAACGGGTGGGCAGGTTGCTGACCATGGTGTTCTCGCTCTCACAGGTGCCGCTGGTGTTTCGAACCGCGGAGGTGCTCGGGGGGGGACGGTGGTCCACGCTGATGACGAAGGGGCCGAGGATACCGCGACTAAGGGTGCAACCCGCGATGAGGCTGACCGCGCTGTTGTGCGTGAGGGGGAGGAGTCGAGTGAGGAGGAGGCGGAGGCTCACGTGGTAGCGGCCGCGGCATCCAGCAGGCCCACTACATCCGGCAAGAGCATCAAGCACCTCGCACAGCACTTGGCCCCCGGTGCTGGAAGCGCGGGCCCGAGTGGTGAGGTCGCGGGCAAGAGTCCCGTGACAGGTCCGCATGATCACGCGTCCCTGTCCTCGTTGCCATCGCATAAGCTTGCTGCCGAGATCCTGCAGCTCGAATGCAGGCTTGCAGCGCAGGCCGAAGAGAACGCACGGCTGAAGAAACGCCAGGAGTCGGGGGTTGGTGGGGTCGCGGTCGTGGGCTCTGAGGAGCTTGCATCAGCGCTTTCTAATGCGGTTCGGGTGTTGGAGAAGGAGGCGAGGGCGATCGCGCAGGAAAGAGCGACCCTGGTCGATACGCGTAACCAGGAGGCGTTGGTGCTGGGGCGAGTGGACGCGAGGCTGGGACAGCTGCAGGAGGTGGTGGCAGACTCCATGGAAGCCGCTCAAAAGAAGCTGACGGACGAGGTTGCGCGGAAGATCGACAACATGTCGACCGCGGTCTCCGCGACAGCAGAGCGGGCAATCACCACCAGCGGGGTCACGAACGCGATGCACACCCTCATCGCGCTCGTTGGAGGAGCCCCCCCGCCGCGCACGGATAATGAAGGAACGGTCGCGACGGAGATTGCCGAGCCCGGGGATGTAGAGCATGGAAAGCGGGCAACGGGTGCGAAGGCGGAGAATCAACGGGGGGCGAAGAGGCAGAGAGGTCCCCAGGCAGCAGCCGCGGTGCGCAATCTGAGCGTGCAGGACATGCTGAAGCAGAAGTGGGGCGCTGCATCGCGAGGTGCAGCACCGCCTGGTCAACCGGGTTCGAGCTCGCGCTCCATCCCACCTGGAGAAGCTGCACCCAAACCACCGGGCCTTGTCGGGGCAACCGCGATAGTGACAACTACTATGGGTCGGGGCAAGGGTAAGGCGGAGGATGGAGAGGCGCCGGCTGCTGCGGGTTCGCTGGCCTCGAGGCGTGAGGTCCAGTCCGCAGCGGCTGCTGCGGCAGAGGGCACGCAGACCACGCTCGCACCCGCTCGTGCTGCAATCACCGCGGGAAATCTGCACAGCGCACTGGCATCTGCAGGTCCTATCGCGGCCTTGGTCGAGGTCAAGGCGGAGAAACGCGGACGGGGTGGCAAGAAGTTGCCCCCTCCACCCGTGTACACGATCGACGAGGACGATGCGGATGAGGAGCTGGAGGGTCTCGTGAGCAGGTGGGTCGAGGCGGGCGACGGAGGAGAGCAGGGTGGGGAGGCCGCGGTCGATGTTTATAGCGGCGGGGAGAGCGCGGACGAGCAAGACGAAGACCCCGTGATCGTGGAAGGTGGCACAACGGGAGGACATGGTGACACCGGCCCCAAGCGCAGGGGCTGCGGCATCCGCGCTCCACCCAGGGGCGGGCTCGGATTGGTTTCTGAACCCCATCTTGGGGGGAAGAAGCGATGGCTCGGACACGGCGACCGCCAAGACCTGCAGTACAAGACCGCGATCGCGACGTATCCCTACGACGGGAAGGTCGACCCCGAACTGAACCTGAGCCAGCAGCAGATCCGAGAATGGGCCGCGGACCTGTCCATCGCCGAGGGGTTACATACGGGCCTCTTAATCACCATGCACTACCGCAACCTCGTGGCAAGCAAGGACAGGTGAGCTGTGCCAATCCACCATCATCTAGTGCGTTCATACGGTTTGGTATGTTATCATGTTCTGGCCGCTCCTACCCACTGCGTGGCAGGTGGCAACGCATGTTCGATTCCTATCACGGGCTAACCAAGCCCGGAATGCACACCACCAACGTGATTGCATGGGCCGCGGTAGTAGGCAAGGAGGCTGCAGCAGAAGAAGCGGATCTCGGCGATGTGGAGCCGACGGACTACGCGGGAGCGATCGCATGCGCCATTGCAATGGTGTGGGAGGTCACTCGCGGTTCTAACGTCACTGTCGCAGCGGATAATGGAAATCTGGCCGCGCGTGCTGCTGATTGCTATGGAGAACGAATCCGTCTCTTCCCCGTAGTATCCGCGTACGTCATCAATGCGGTGCGGAAGCGCAATCGCCGCGAACATCAGCAGGCTGAGGAAGATGAGCCACAGGTTGTCGCGGACCCGAAGGCAGTCGCCGCCGCGATCGTGTCTCGAGTCGTGAACGAGGTCATTGCAAAGTCTCGCGATCTCAGGCACATTGAGTTGGCCGCCCGCGAAACGGTGGACGTTATCATCACCTGGTGCGACTGCTCGGTGGCAGGGAAGCAGATGGAGTCGTTGGGTTTGTACCTTGCCCTGCCCAAGGATCGTCTGAAGAAGCGGACTTGAGTGCGTGTAGTATCGCGTAGCATGTGCACAGCTTGTCCGCCATGCTTGAGTTCTACTCGCGGTGGATTGTGCTGGGCTTGCGGATCTGTGTGCATGTAGTATATCGTGTGTGTGTGTGTGTGCGCGCGTGAGAACCTAGTGTTGACATTTGGAACAATATGTGCTGGAGTTATACTCGCGGTGGACTGTTCTTAATTCTCGTACTTTGTGTGTGAAGGTTTGTAGGATTCAGTGGGTGCGTGTGTTTGCGCGTGTGCCATTTTAGTAGTAATCTGCATTCGACTCAGGTATTCCCACACATTATCATTGTACACACTACGACGCGAACAATCTATGTACATTAGGCAACAGCAGCCCGCGATCACCACGGCCGCGATGTAAATCAGCACTATTTTCGCGCAAAACCACAACACTCGCGGTCGATTTTAGGGACCCATCAGCGCACAAGCATCGCACTCGAAAACGGTGATATCAAGACGAACAACATCGGGGTCAATCCATTTACTGCAAGTCTGGCATCAGCGCACAGTACTGGGGCCACGCGACCGTGAACTCAGACGCGGGAAGAGAGGCATTGATGAGACGGTCGCGAACAAGCATCCATTTCACACGCAACTGCACCTCCACCGGAGAACCCTTCTTGAGCTGGCTCAGTTCCAGGTCAACACTCTTCTTCTTTACCGCGATCCCTTCCGATACACCGGACATGCCCACAGCTCCTGACATGAGGTCGAGCTTGTCGAGCACTACCGCGATGTCGTCTCCTTACTCCACCCTGTGGGTGATGAAGCTCATTATTCGCTTGACATGGTTTATCGCGTTCTGGCCGCCTCCCTCCTCCCCAATGAGCGCGGCCATTCGCGTAACTGCGCCGCGGGGCTGGGCCAGAAGCGACTCTGGACTCTCGCGAATCAGCGGGTGCGTTGTCTTGTACAGCTTCCATCCGTCTGACGGTTTGGTGGCATTGACCCATGGAAGGACGATCGCGTCCCGAATTGTCTGTTCCCTGGTGGGCGGTGCGGGTTTCTTCCGCGTCCCCTACTCGGTGGGAGTTGTGGCATTGGTCGGCGCGGCCGCGGCTCCAGGAGTGGTTGCCTGGTCCAGGAGCTGCTCACGGTGAGCCGCGTCAGCTGGGCCTCCAAATCATTCACGCGCTCGTCCTTCGTGGCCAGCTTCCGATCGCGATCCTCCAGCAGCCCCTCCAGCTCTTTCACCCGTTTATGAGTCGCGACCAACTCTAGGCCCAGTTTGGTGTTGTTCGCTTGTGAACGAGTCAAATACTCAGTGAGGACGGTCACTTGGTTCTGCGCGTCCATTCTGGTACTCACCTCCTGCATGGACAGAAAGCGACCGCAAACTTGTTATGGTTTGGCATTGACATCATAGAAGAAAGATAACGCGACCATGCAGTACTTACTGCGGGCTGGGTCAGTGTAGGAGTGTTGCGCTGTACTATGGCGAGTTGATTTGCCAATGAGACATTTGCAGCCCACGACGCAAATTCCTTTGTCTGGCAGAGCGGGTTGTTGACCACGTACGGGTGTCGCGGCTGGTGGATGTAATACATCGCCAGGTCTTGCGCGACCGCCATCCTAGCGTCCCCATCCAGCTCCTTCAGTATGTTTAGCCCCGCGGTGTCCTGCTTCTCCGGCTTCTGCTTTTTCACCATCCTGCGGTTGTAATCCTTGCACTGTGACAATAAAACAACGAGGTAGTGAACGCGGTGCCAGAGGGTTATGTGGGATGCTCGCGGTCGTGTATGCGCGGCCCACACATACCTGTTGCTCTCCTTTGTCCGCGGCGGCCCATGGGAAAATGTGCTTCCTCGGTAGCTCATCCAGCTTATCCCTGACTGGAACAGTTGTGCGACCCAGGAAGTTGTCACCGTCAACCCCGGTGAAGCCCGCCTTCAGCAGCACGGCCTCCCTCGGAATGGTTGTGAGGTAGTGCTTAGTCATCACGTCGATGAAGCGCCGACCCCCCAGCCTCGCCAGCTGATCCGAAGGCATTCCGTCCAGGGACGCGTGCTGCGCCCCCCCAGCCCTGGTCGCGTGTACCGCACGCGAGCATGTGATTCCCGCGTCCTGGAGAATCTTCGCCGCCCAGTCATGATGAGTCGTGGGCGGTATTTTCTTCTCGTTGCCCGCGCGAAGGGGGAAAAACAGGTATTGATCGTACCACGTCGAGGGTTCCGTGAAGTCGAGAGGGGGGGCTATGTCCTTGTAGAGGATGGGAACCAAGTCGTACACCCAGCGCAGCCACAACAGCGTGGCTCCGACCGCGCACAGCGTCCAATCTATGTGCCTCACAGCAGATATGTAGTTGAGCGAGAAGTCCTTGTTTGTCTTGCCCTACCTGCACGCGCAAACAAACATGAACGCGTTCCTCACTGGATCGGTCTCCGATTTTGCGCCGAGCTTCCACATCATCATGTCTGGTAGCTGCAGGTTTCTGATCGTGCATCCGCGGGCCAGATTTTGATGACCGAGCACGGTCATCGTCCGGATGCAGAGGTCGCGATGCATTGCCTGCGTGTATGCTTTCTTGGCTAGTGTGAAGCTGGTCAAGATCGCGTCCATGCTGGTCTTACGCATCATATGCTTGAACTCGTCCGGGGTGTACGTGTCCGCGGCCGTGCCCCGATGGCGATCCATGTGTTCCCTGCGCATCGATTGGGACGATAGTGCGGGTGTTGGTGGACGCGGTATTGTTGGGCATTAAACGCGTTCACTGAGAACGTATACTTACGCGATAAACCGCTTGTACCGGTCGCGTACTTGAACGCGGACCCAGATGCGACACTCCGCAAAGTCGCGCAGCAGGTTCAGAACGGGCTTCCTGAAGATGGCCCCGTCCAGCTTGATGAGCAGGTTCAAAGCCTTGAGACGCCCCATCAGCATTGCCGGGGTGCACTGGCGTCTCTTCTTCAATGTCTTCTCTGGCCGCTTGAGTGTGGCCATCCTGTCCGCCTGCGCGACTGTCTCGTTCGCGAGGAAGGTCACGTATTTGCGTAAGCGCCACGGATTCGTCTCAGGGCCGTGGAACCACAGCTCGTCGCCTTCCGCCATCTTCCAGTCACCACCCATTATCTGTTCGAGCGCAGCCCCTATCTCGTCGGGGTTCGCGTTTCTCAACGCGGCCTCATCACCAAACCTACCCGCGTCCAGTTTAGGCAGCTCGTGAGCCATGAACCGCTTGTACTCGTTGGCCCAACCGCGATACTTCTTCAGCGTGGCCTCAGAGACACCGTAGAGGATTCCGTAGCACATCTCTCATTTCGCGGCCGGCGTGTCGTCCACACCTAGCCTGTTCCAATCCGCGATAGGGACCTCAATGTCCCTCCGCGTACCCCGCACCCGTTCGTTGTCTTCCGCCTCCTCCTCGTTGAGCGCGGACAGCGAGTTCGATAGGTAGTTTTCGTCATCGTCATTCCAACTATCGTTCGCATCGTCAGCGTCGTCCTCGTCATCCTCATCGCTTGCCCTCTCGCTCCCCTCCCGGGAGCCGTTGCGTGCCATGTGCAGCACTACATCGACTCTCCGCCTCCTTATACGCGGTCTATTAACTGGCCCGTTACCTGACCCGCCGTTCGCGTTAACACCACTACCCCTGCCGTCGTTACCTGTCACCCCATGCGCTCCCTGCCCGTTCGCACTATACTCGTTCGATCCCACACCTGTCCCACGTCCCGCGCTCGCCCTCCCACCCCTTCGTCTCGCACCTCTCCCTCTAGCCGCGTTCCCTCTCTCCCCTGTCCCTCTTCCCGCGTTCCCTCTCGCACCCGTCCCTCTTCCCCTTACCGCATTTCCGCTTGCACCCGCTCCACGCCCCGCGTTCCCCGCGCTCGCCTGTGGTTGCCCACCTACACCAGTCGCGTCCGCTACAGTCGGATGCGCAGGGGTGCGGATGTGGACGTCGGGGTTTCCGGGCAACAGTGAGTTCACGTTCCATATTGGCGGCGAATGTGCACGCGCGCTTGCATTCATCCCCGCTCCACCATTCACCGCACGCCCTAAACCACCGGCAACTGCGTTCGATGATGGGCCGTCTGTTCGCGCCCGTGTGTCCAAACCGACAACTAATGCTTCTCTAGGGTCTGGCGGGGCTTGCACCGCTGGCTGGCTTTCCGGATGAATCGCGCTGGGGAATGGTGTTGACGGCGCGACAGGAGGCGTCGCGACAGATGCAGGTGCGTGCACCATGGGGTCTGGTTGAACGCCGATGTACCCATACCTGAATCCCACGTTCGAGTACTGCGGCCCTACGAAGCCACGCACAGGCATCCCAAAGAGCTGGCTACAGGGCACGGACGGGGACGCGATGTGTTGTCCAACAGGATGAGTCATGGAAACTCCTTGCGCGGTAACATTACCCGGTTGATTTTGTAACGCGACCGCCGCTGCCGCAAACGGTATTTGTGGACGCGGTGCTAGGTGGAGCCCGTTGACCAGTTGTTGTGGGTGAAACGCGGGCATCCGGGACCCAAAAACCACGGGCTGCACGTATGGGGTGCTCCATGTGGGGTTGAGCGCGTTCACCCCATGCACGGGAGCGGTAGGTGGTTCGGCATTATGGATTTTATGCGCGGTTGTGTTGCACGGAGCATTGATGGAGTCGTGAAGTATTGGCGCCGCGACGCGATTCACGGTATGCATGCGGTGTGCGAGATTGCACCTACTCATATTCACCGCGTGCGTCAACATGATGCGCGGTCACTACTTGTACACCCAGGTGTGACTTAGACCCGTCTACCTCGCGACCGATGTGAGAAACTTAGAACGAGAATGGATGACTAAGGAATGGAAGTGATACAAATATGCAACCCTAGAAATGTGTACCCCATATAGGCTACCCCACTACAACCTACACAATATTATAATTTGACACACCCCCATAGGCAAAGTGGGGGAGAACAAGGGGTCACAAGACCAGTCAAGCAAAGCAGACAAAGCTCAGGGTGGATCACAACGTCACCACACAGTCCGAGCACAAGGTCAAGGCCACAAGGCCAGTTCACATACAGGAGTATACATATATATATATAAGGCTAAACAAGCAAGAGCAGGTATACATATATGTAAGAGTACAAGCAAGGTCAAGGGGTGAGCAAGTGAGGCAAGACAGGCACAAGACCCAGCTGAGTGCAGAAGCGCTGATGATCACAAGGCGGAAGTGCCTTGGTGAAAACATCAGCAGTCTTGGCCTCAGAGGCCACGTACGCAAGTCGCAACTGACCACGCTGCTGCAACTCACGAGCAAGAAAGTAGCGGAAAGCAATGTGCTTCGTTCTGTGCTCCAGGCGCTGCTCCCGACACAAGGCTAGCATGGCCTTGTTGTCTACGTACAGCACCGGAGGAGAACGAGGCGGCTCTCCGAGGTCAGTCAGCAGGTAGGTAAGCCAGCGAAGCTCCTGTGCAGCCATGGCCCCGGCGTAGATCTTAGCCTCACAACTGGAGCCGAGAACAGAAGACGAGCGAGTAGCCCACCACGAAACAGAGCCGGAACCAAGGCTGAAGGTGTAACCCTGTGACGACCGCTGCGTAGCCAGGTCGTCTGCCCAAGAAGCGTCCGCGTGCCCAGTGAGGACCACTGGACTCCGCCCTCCAAGAACTAGCCCCATGCCCGACGTACTGCACAAGTAGCGCAACACCCTCTTCGCTGCAGCCATGTGCTCTGGTCTGTGTCTCCCATGAGCAACATCGCGTGCAAGAATGCTAAGAGGGTATGCAAGGTCAGGTCGTGTGCAGGTCATCAGGTACATGAGGCAGCCAACAAGCTCTGGGTACGGGCCACTCGACTCTACGGACTCATCCGAAGGCAGAGCTGAGAGCGAGTGGCGAGTAGACAGAGGAGTGGCCTGAGGCGAGGAGTACGTGAAGCCGAAGCGCTGAAGGACCTGCTGCACCATGTGTGACTGAGTCAGGGTAATGGTGCGGCGTGCTCTGTCCCGGGTGATCTGCAAGCCAAGGTAGCTGCGCAGTTCACCCAGGTCTGTGCACGTGTGTCTCTTCTGCAGCTCGGACTTCACGTAGGCGAGTCCAGCAGTGTCAGCTGTGGCAAAGACCAAGTCCTCGACGTACACGAGGATGTAGAACGGCGGTAGAGAGGTGTCGGTGCGCAGAAACAGCGACGGGTCGGCAGTAGAAGGAGCAAACCCAAGAGCCGCAAGCGTAGTCCTCAGTGTGTCGTGCCACTCACGTGGCGCCTGTCGGAGACCGTAGACTGGACGCCGGAGACTCCACTGGGTACCAGGAGGGAAAGACCCAGTGAAGCCAGGTGGGCGACGCAACCAGATCTCCTCGTGCAGGCTGCCCTGCAAGAAAGCTGTGCTGAAGTCAAGAGAGTGCAGCTCGTAGTCACGGTGAGCAGCAACGTGCAGCAGTACCCGAAGAGTGGTCATCTTCGGGGTGGGGGAGAAGGTCTGAAAGTAGTCGACTCCCTGCCGCTGACTGAAGCCACGAGCCACGTAACGCGCCTTGAAGACAGGCGGAGAACCCGACGGCCGCTTCACCCTGAAGATCCACATGCCACTGACGATGTTCGCCCCAGGAGGGGGGACAGCGTCAACGTAGGTGCCTGTGGACTTCCAGGAAGCCATCTCTGCATCCATAGCTGCCTGCCACTGAGAGGAGTATGGACCCTCTATCGCCTCCGCGTAAGAGCGCGGAGTCGGGATGTCAAGTGCATCCGGGTCTCCCTCAGGGGTAAGCAGTACGGACACGAGATGAGGTGAAGCAGCTGCCAGACACTGGAACTCCTCCTGCCTGTCCTCAAGGACGTCCGTGCCAAGAGCACACTCACCCCCGACGGACGGAGGACAGACAGACTCGGACTCAGCGACAAGACTAGCAGCGTAGTCTAGGCGACAGTGAGCAGCAAAGTCGACGAGCTCAGCAACTAGGGCAGACGCAGCAGTGGACTCGAAAGAAGGGTCAGTGACAACAGTAGCAAGGAGACGCGTGACAGTAGGACTGGCAGCACGAAGAGAGTCCGACTCCGGGTCGGCAAGAGCAGGAAGAGAGGACTCAGGAGGAGAAGGCAAAGGGGCACGTAGAGGAGCAGTGGACGGACGCAGAGACATCCGGTGCGTGCTAGGGACAGGAGGAGGACGCTGACGCGAACCGCGACCACTAGTGCGACTAGCACGGACAGGTGACGCAGGGCGAGAGGCAGGCTCACGACGCTCAGCCAGACCTCCAGTAGGACCAGTGTAGGGAGAAGGAGCAGGCAAAGGGGAGGTAGGCTGCAACTGTAGCTGGGACGGGACAGGCTGTGGACACTCTAAGGGAGGAGGAGGACCAGAAGAAGGTGGAAGACCAAGAACCTACTGCAGGAGTGGAACGAAGTACGGTCGAGGCCGCGTGGCGACGCCTGAAGCAGCAGGGACAGCACCAGAACCCTCAGCAGGAGCACCCGCTCCAGCAGCACCACCAGTAGCCCCAGAACCTCCAGCAGCACCAGGAGCACCCCCAGCAGGTTCGCCAGCGGTAGTCTCAGCGCCAACACCCTCAGCAGCACCTCCAGTAGGAGCGGCTATGTGTAGCAGCACCCGAAGAGTGGTCATCTTCGGGGTGGGAGAGAAGGTCTGAAAGTAGTCAACTCCCTGCCGCTGACTGAAGCCACGAGCCACGTACCGCGCGTTGAAGACAGGTGGAGAGCCCGGCGGGCGCTTCACCCTGAAGATCTACATGCCACTGACGATGTTCGCCCCAGGAGGGGGAACCGCGTCAACGTAGGTGCCTGTGGACTTCCAGGAAGCCATCTCTGCATCCATAGCTGCCTGCCACTGAGAGGAGTAAGGACCCTCTACGGCCTCCGCGTAAGAGCGCGGAGTCGGGATGTCTAGTGCATCCGGGTCTCCCTCAGGGGTAAGCAGTACGGACGCGAGATGAGGTGAAGCAGCAGCCAGACACTGGAACTCCTCCTGCCTGTCCTCATGGACGTCCGTGCCAAGAGCACACTCACACCCAACGGACGGAGGACAGATAGACGCAGACTCAGCAACAAGACTTGCAGCGTAGTCTAAACGATAGTGAGCAGCAAAGTCAACGAGCTCAGCAACAAGAGCAGATGCAGCAGTGGACTCAAAGGAGGGGTCAGTGACCACAGTAGCAAGGAGACGCGTGACAGTAGGACTGGCAGCACGAAGAGAGTCGGACTCAGGGTCGGCAAGCGTAGGAAGAGAGGACTCAGGAGGAGAGGGCAAAGGGGCACGCAGAGGAGCAGTGGACGGACGTAGAGACATCCGGTGCGTGCCAGGGACAGGAGG